TATATATATGAGTTAGAGTTTTTGAGTGTTTTATCACTTTCATTCTTGATCTTTTACAGACCTATTTGTATTAGGGTATATAATACCTTATTCTTCATCTTTAAAATATAATTTCTTATTCTACCTCGTTATTGAGTAATATTTTGATTGTGAAGCTTTCACCAAAAGTTTTACTATTTCAGGTTTTAGCAATTGCAAGCAAGTGTCACGATCCAAAATCCACTAAGGGTCGTGATGGCGCCGGACACTATTGTCAGGCAAGCCAACACTAATTAATTAATAACTTCTTGTTTTAGATATTTCTGAATTTACTTCTTTTATATATTCAAACAATAAAGAATAAGTTCCACTGAATAAATAATAATATCTTTAACAATTTCAAATACTTAATAATCCCATAGACATCCCAGAACCCGGTGTCATAAGTGCATGAGCAATTACTAAGAGAATCGAATAAAGTATAATCACTGTCCGGAATACAAATTGGACAGAAGTAAATACAATACGCTGAAAGAGACTATACTGGCTGCGGGTCGCCTCGAGAAATGCAGCTCACCTAGTCTCCGTATCATCCATGCTGCTATGCCCCAGTAGGCCGCTAGAAATACCTGTACCTGTGCAACAAGATGCACATCAAGCGTAGCATGAGTACGAAAACAATGTGTACTCAGTAAGTATCCCGCCTAATCTCGAGGAAGTAGAGACGAGAGGTCGACTTCGACACTTACTAGTGGTCTAATAATGATAAATCGATAATGTAACAAATTGAGGATTTATACAAGTACGATTGTAATTCAATAAAGTGAAGCAAGTAAGCAATTCTTTCTTTTATAGGGAAAATCTCAAATCCATTTTTCATCATTTATACATTTATTCTCAAATCAGGGAGTGACAATATCAACTTCAATGAATTTCAAGGCAAGCAATACAGGCATGCGCAACTCATGCCGAGGTCGTACGACCCGATCCAACAATATTTAAAATGTGCACTGCCAGAGGGTCGAATGTCGCGAACCATAGATGCATCTATTACCCCGCTCGCGAATCATACATGTGATGCGGTCAAATACAAATAAACAATCACCCTGCTCGCGAATCATACATGCGACGCAGGTACACATAGAAACACATATTCAAACAGTCAATCAAGACTTCATCTAGGAAACAATTATTCAAGGAGGCGTACATTTCTCTTTTACAAGTCAAGAAAATGAAGTTTAACTCTTTTAGAAAATCATTTGCCACTTCGATACGATTTAAGCAAATTTGACAACCAATAAAGTTACAATTATTACAAGTTAGCATGCTTTTGCGACCTAGACTACCCGGACATAGGCATAATAGTAGCTACGCACGGACTCTCGTCACCTCGTGCGCACGTAGCCCCAACAAATAGCAGCGCATATGTTCAATTAATTCACCTATGGGGATAATTCCCTCTTACAAGGTTAGAAAGGAGACTCACCTCGCTCCGAAGTTCCATAACCGGCCTTCCACGCCTTTCCGAAGACTCAAATTGATGCACAACGCTCCAAAACTAGCCAATAATTATGCAAATCCATTAATACATGTTCAATTACTCATAATAATCCAATTTATAACAATTCCTAACCTCGATCGAAAAGTTGACAAAAACGCCCTCGGGCCCACGTGCCCGGATTCCAAAATTTTTCGAAGATAAAGTTTACCCATAACTTCAGGAACTCAAATATATAATTTGCTCTTAATTTCATGCCCAAAATCATGGTCAAAATTCAAGAATATCAAATTTCTAGGTCTTCCTCAAAACCCCAAATTTTCACTAATTTCCATGTTAAAATCCATATATAATCAATGTATTTAACTCCTAATAAGGGGGGATAACTTACCTTGCCATTGAATGATGAAACCCCCTCTTGAAATCCACCAAGAATCGCCTAAGCCAAGAGAAAAATGAAAGAAATGGCCAAATCCCGTTTTAAAACACTTCACTGCCCAGGAGACCCTTCTATGCGATCGCATTCCTCCGATCGCGATCGCATAAGCCAAATCCCAGCGGCCTCCAAAACGCACTATGCGATCGCATACTCCACCCCGCGATCGCATAAGCCAAAAATCCAGCAGCCCCTAAAATGTGCTATGCGATCGCACTTCTCTCCATGCGTTCGCATAAGCCAAAACAGCAGCCTCCAAATTTTGCACTATGCGATCGCACTCCTCTCCATGCGATCGCATAGAGTAAAAATCTGCTGCACTAACACCAGAAAACCAGCAATCACCCATAAGGCTAAAAATGCCCGTTGAGCATCCGAAACACACTCGAGGCCCCCGGACCTCAACCAAACCTACCAACCAGTCCTAATACCTCATTCAAACTTAGTCGAGCCTTGAAATCACATCAAATAACATCGAAATCACGAATCGCAACTCGATTCAAGCTTAATGAACTTAGAAATTCCAAACTTCTACATTCGATGCCGAAACCTATCAAATCACGTCCAATTGACCTCAAATTTGGCACACAAGTCACATTCAACATTACGGACCTACCCCAACTTCCGAAATCGGAATCCGACCCCGATATCAAAAAGTCCACTTCTGGTCAAACTTTTCAAAAACCTTTAAATTTCTATCTTTAGCCAAATGACTCCAAAACGACCTACAGACCTCCGAATTCACTTCCGATCGAGCTCCCAATACCAGAATCACCATACAGAGCTATTCCCAGACTCGGAATCCCAAACGGACATTGATAACACTGAAATGCACTTTAACCCAAACTTATGAATTCCTCCAAAATGCTAACTTCCACAATAGGTGCCGAAACGTTCCCGGGTCTTCTAAGACCTGATCCGGGCATACGCCCAAGTCCGAAATCAACATACGAACCTGCTGGAACCTTCGAATCCCGATTTCCGAGGTCGTTTACTCAAAAATCCAATCTTAGTCGATTCTTTCAACTTAAAGCTTCCGAAATGAGAATTCTCTTTCCAAATCAACTCCGAACTTCCCGGAATTCAGTTTTGACCATGCGTACAAGTCATAATACCTGAAATGAAGCTGCTCATAACCTCAAATTTCTAAACGACGCGCTAAAGCTCAAAACGACCGGTCGGGTCGTTACAGCAAGAATTCATCTCATTTTTACATGGATTATAGTTTAGATTTTTTATTTTTATGTTTGGATATGTTACTTTTAAATATTATATTTTAAAAGTTTTATATGTGACTAGTTTAAAATAATATTTAATAAATTAAATATTATTACTTCTCATTCTCTATAATATTTATTTTTTTCGTCGTAAATATAAATATTCGATTATGTTAATTATTTTATATGATATAATCAAATAACCGAATAACCAAATAGAAAAAACCCGACCCGAGAAGAGAAAAATCAAACCAAAGAAAACTTACTTTTGGTCTTTTTACAAATCTAAAATCAAAACCTATGTCACGATCCAGGCCCCCGCACTGGTCGTGATGGCGCCTCTCGTGAAGACGAGGCCAGCAAACTAACCCAACTCGTCTTTTCAAAAGTAGTTAAACATAATTACACAACTTAAATATGACTTAATAGTATTAATTAGCGGAAATACAACCCAACACAGCCCTAATCGGGGTGTCACAAGTCACGAGCATCTACAAGAATGTAATTACATTTACAAGTCTAGAAATACACTGAACAGGAATAATGAATAACAATAGAAAGAAACGGTGCTGCGAACGCTGGCAGTCACCTCGCTAAACTACTACAGCTCTGCCTCCAAACAGCCAATACCCGTTACCGGGTGAACAAATACCTGCAACTGCACACGAGGTGCAGGGAGTAAAGTGAGTACTCCAACTCAGTGAGTAATAAAGGTAAATAACAACTGAGCAGTAAGAAATCACGTAAAGCAACCAACATGCTGTATAGAAGCAGGGTACAATCCTTTGAGAAACAGTGAAGCTGTGAAATCTTTAGAAATATATTTTGGCTCAGTTTAAATCTCTTTTGAAAAAGATCTTTTCAACAGTTACGAAACGATTTCAAAACAGTTAGTGCTGTTAAGCACAGAAAAATCCGCCCCTCGGGCACAAATACCGCAGTATAACAGGTAATAAGGCAAGTAAATATGCAAGATGAGCACATAAAAGTTCGCCCCTCGGGCAATATCTCAAAACAGTACCAGCCCCTCGGGCTCACTCTCAGAAACACTCTTAGCCCCTCGGGCTCTCTCTCTCAGATCACTCTCAGAACAGTATCATATAGTAACCGCTGCGGTGTGCAGCCCGATCCACATATC